CAGAAAAACAAACTGAACAACTTTTGCCTCAGGGTCACATCGAAATTCTGCACCAAATTGAGAATAAAAGATATTTTTTTTATTTTTCATTTTTTATTTTTATTTTTTAATTGTTTTTGGCCCGGCCGGGCAAGTGACCCCGGGCCACTCTGGTAGCCTAGGTTGGAACCCAAGAGCCTAGCTCAGTGGGTACACCCATGAACTGTTGAAATACAGACCTGTGTTCGAATCCAGATGGTGGAACGTGACGAGTAAAACCAACTACTAATGAATTGCTTGGGGCCGGTCAGCTCAATGATAATATCTCAAGGCCGTCGCCCTTTTTTTTTTTTTTTTTTTTAAGAATTATGGAGTTGGAAGGTGACACGGTTACTCACTTTTCTTTTGCTGGCTCCTACATGTGCAGTATGGCGATCCTGTCATGGCACGCTTGGATCCAAAGGGATACGTGCGATTTAAGCTCTACCGAGATGCGACGCAATACACGAAAGGGAAGCACATGAGGGTAAGTTCTGACTCTCTCCCCTCCCCCTCACCCTCTCCCTCCCTCCCTCTCTGTCTCTCTATCCCTCCCTGCCCCACTCCTGCTGCTCACCATCTTCAGCCCGGTGAAACCGCAGCCGTCTGCACACTTAGTGGAAGCGCAGCCTTCTGCATGCTTAGGGCACCCATTACATAGGAAACCGAGGGAACTTGTGGGCCTGGCCTCATACACCATGACTTTTTTTCCCTTTTGTTTCTGGAGGTGTACCGTTGTTGGTGTCCCTTTTCAGATGTTTGCTGACGCGCTTTCCTTCAAGGGAAAGCGCGCCTGCCGGTACTGCAGGGACAAGCGGGGATGGCGGGATGCCATGGTGATTTTAGGCTGCGGGCCTGGCAGGAAAATACGACACGATGTGCCCCATGAGTTTCCTCGTATCTGCGTGGTTGGATCCAGCCCTTATTCTCATTTGAGTCTCTCCCCTGTGCAGTATTAATTTGCTTCTGCTACAAGTGCTCGGAGAGGTTTTTGTCTTTCCTCAGTGCTCTGGGGGCGTAGAGTTGTAGACCACCACTGCATCCGAACGGCTTTTGTTGAACCTCTATCTCTAAATGGATTACCCTCTTCATAGACGTCAAGGGCGCACAATCGGGTCAATGTTTTATGTTATGAGGGGTTATGCGCATCGCTTGATTAGGGCTATGCCTCTGTTTGTGGGTGTTGCTTGTGAGGTAAGGAGTACTAAGGACATAACTGGTTAACAAGGAGCCCTTCAGCCCCAGGTTAACCCCCCCCAGCAGTGAAACAGTGGGAACACTGGAAAGTGCATTTGGCCCGGATATTTCTTTCAGGTTTTTTTTTTTTTTTTTTTTTCCCTGTTTGATTTTTGGTCAAGGTCTGCGTATGCCAAGTTTGGTGTTTGTTGGCGTCTTGGAGACTACTATTTTGGCCAGCCCTGAAAAATCTTAAAATCCTGAAAATCCTGAGAAACTGAAAAGAGCGAATTTTTCATGAAAACACACTTATGCCTCGGTGTTTTAGGCCCCTTTAATTCAATTTTTAACTTTGCTGTTGGTTTATTTAGTGTCCACTCTGTGGGCTGGTGACAAGTCTGGGTTAAAGGTGTGGGACCTTTGTTATAATCTTCCTGAAAAAAACCTCCTGAAAATTTAGGGCTCTGTTAACCGCTTCTCTCCAGTTCCTCAGAATGTCTACTTCCCACGGACCCCTGCTGAATACTGGTATGTTTGATGAATGGCTTGTGCATTTTTGGTGTGAAATCAAAGCCGTGTGTCAGCATGGCAGGGAGAAGGTCAGTTTGTGGCTGCCATGGAAGAGGTGCAATCTGGTGTGTGTGATTTTGATTTGGAAAACGTTTTTAAAGTCCAGGTAGCTTTCGAGCGCAGAAATTTTCTTCGCTCTCTTGTCCGATTCAATTTCTCACTTTGTGTGTGCTTGTGTGTCTGTGTTCTTGAATCTTGGCTGACAGGATCTGTCCAAACTTAACAGGGACCCTTCCAAGATTCTTTATCTTAGCGGGCACGGTTTGGAGAACTGCCTGCATCCGGAGAATGTTGTTCCCATCAAACCCTGGAAAGCAGAACCGGGTGATGCGGCACTTCTGGATCTCATGCCTTTCCTTGAATGTACGTCGAACCTAGACAAATATTTACATAGATATGACTGTGGCAATGTGTGTACTGTCGTATGACTCTTATCCTTCCCCTCTTGGCCTGTCCCACCTGTGCACCCTTTTGTGACTCTTATCCTTTTCCCCTCTTGGCCTGTCCCACCTGTGCACACTTTCATGTAACAAAAATCGCTGAGGGTTGGTGCTGTAAATTGTGTGCCCCCAAGAAAATTTGATACATCTTTTTTTTTTTTGATTGCTCCATCTATTGATGGGGAGCATCACCTGCTGGAAAGCGGGTCCAGCATTTTTTTTTTTTTTTTTTTTAAATTGCTCCATCTATTGGTGGGGAGCATCACCTGCTGGAAAGCGGGTCCAGCATACTACATAGCGACATTTGACAACTACAGGCTGCTTCCCTTTGAAATTTGAAGCTTGAAGCCACCGCCCTGCACACTTTTGTGCAACAAATCCCTGAGGGTTGGTGCTGCGGTCATGGCGCCCATGGAATCGCCAGGGGTGAGAGAAAAGAATACAGGGTGAAATGCTGTGAAGAGTTTGATGTTCAAAATGAGTATTGTCTTCTAGGCAAAAAAAGAAAGAATGTTTGATAGTGTTATTTCGCACTGACGGCAGAGGTACTTTTTTCCCATTCTCATTGCGAATGTCGTTTCTCCTCCGGCATATGGATTCCTCACTGCGGTTATTTCAAACAACTCTCTGACTACATTTTGTTCATGTGTGAGGAAAATATCGACTGAGCCGTGAAGGTCTTTAGGGCTGAGCTTCTAGATAAAGTTGATGAACCTTTTGTGATAGGTTTGCTGCTGGAAAGTCTGGGGATTGTCCCTTTCCTGAATGTTTGTTTCAGCCTATGCAGTGTAACTGAGAAGGTGTGAGAGTGCATACGGTGGATTGGTACAAGGAGTTTGATCGGTGAGGTGGTTGTTTGGAGGCTGATCGATTCCCTTCCTTCCCCCCCTCCCCCACCCCGTTTTTTTTTGGTTTCTCGTAGGTATTGCTCGGCAGCGACCGCCTGATGCGCGAGTTGTGCTGGAGTCCTACAAGGGCCAGGACATTCCAACTGCCTTTCGAGAAAGGTCAAAGGAAGTGCAGAGGTGAGTTTAGAAATATAGTCTCAGGAGTTTCCATTGTTCTGTGCTGGTGTTGGCATCATCGCCTTCTTTGTCATCGTCATGATCGATTATTTGCTCGATGCGTCTCCATGTGCCGTTTCTCCACGTCGTCTTCTTTGTTTTCTTTGGCTCGCACTTCTCCCTCCTCGAATGCACTGCCAATTGGCATCTCTAAAATCTCCTCTCCCACTTGGTCTTGCTCTTCATTTGCACGGGTAAAGTCGCTCCTCAGCCGCATTCAACTTCATTTGTTCATTTTCATCGCATCTGGTCCTTGATTGAGCTGCCATGTTGCACAGTTAAAATTGCTCCTCCCTAGTCCTTGATTGGGCTGCCATGTTGCACACTTAAAATTCCTCCTCCCTTGAACGTTCACACATGGAGAAGGGGGTTGGGGTGAGGGCGGGGGTATGGGGGCACATAGACACACACACACACACACACAGAGAGAGAGAGAGAGAGAGAGAGAGAGAGAGAGAGAGAGAGAGAGAGAGAGAGAGAGAGAGAGAGAGAGAAGTGTGGTGAGCATAAATGGCATGGAGATGCTTAGGACTGATGACTTGGGTACAAGGTTTCCATCTGGTCTAATGTATGTCAGTTGCTGCCTTGTGTTGACGGTAGCATGCTCTGGCATTGCCATGGTGGTTTTGTGTGGTTGTCACAGACGGATTCAAGAACGAAGAGGGCATAGCTTTTGGCAACGAACGGTTACCTCGGGCCCTCGGACGTCAGCCGCTCACTGACTGTGTACTCGCTTTGGAAATGGTATGAGAACTATTGCGGGGGGCGTCTTTTGTTTGTTAAAACTTTGGTGGAGTGCCTCAAGCCAAGACGATGCAGCAAAGACGATTGAACACTTGAATTTTTATCCAATCAGGTTCTCAAGGATCTCTTAGGAACAGTTCTTACATCCTTATGTCATTTTCCCCTCGAATCTGCGTTTGGGTGCTGGATTGGACTGGATATGTTTTGCATCACAACGAGTTCCATCAAAATCTACAGTGCAAGTTTGCTCTCTCAATGGTGGGGTGATATAGTGAAGTTTTGCACTTTCTCAATGTGTGCGGTTAATCTTTTCATTACTCCCAGGAGGGGATCTTGTCTCCGCTCGAAGTAGCCCAAGGAAGAGCGTAGTGACACAGAATGGGCACAAACAGCTGCTTTCGTAGCTACACATCATCAGTAATGTGGTGGTAAACAGTGGTGAGCCATTTGTTTGTGGCATCGCTTGGAGGGCAGTTTAGATGACTGATCATTGTTTAATAGTGGTTTATTATGACACCGTGGATGGCAGTAGTGGGAGATGGAGTCGTTTGCCGGCATGTGGAATCTGTGCCAGTGTTCGTGGTGATGAAGGTGGTAGCCATATTCTCATCCTACGAGGTCATTGAGAGAGAATGGTGCTCCCATCAGATGTCGTTTTAAAGGTGTTAGACATAGTCAGCTTGGAACTAAATGAATGCCGTGGGGAGGAAGAACGGTGAGTGATTTGATCCAGTTGGTTTTCTATCGGGTGTCCAGTCAATTTTTTTTAACTCAAACGTAGGTAAAGTCTGTAGTGAGAACATGAGAGTTGAGTTCAGAATTTGTTGTTTTATCGTCGGCTTGAATGTGCAAGGTTGTTGGGTTTCTCACTTTTGGCCATTAGCCTAGGAATTGTTGCGTCCCGACTATCCCTGTTCCCCTTCCCCCCTTCCCCCTCACCCTCGCCCCTCCTTCCTCCCTGCTAAGCTTTTGGTCATCACAAATATGATGTAGAGGTCCTGGATGGGAAGTTGCGAACAACTTTTGGCAGAGGGTCATCTCCAAAGTTCGTTCTGCGGGCCGCAGGTGCCATCAAATGGACAAGTGCCAAGCCAGCCGATGCAAACTGAACCGCATCTGAATGCAGATTGTGCTGTACGCTGATTCAAAAAGTTGATGCGCACTGAAATGCGCTATGTGCGGTGCGATTGGAAGACGGTGTGATTGAGAAAATGCTGGCACGGTTATCATGAAATGGTAGTGGCACTTCTTGTGCGGTTGGAAAACCGAGATGTGAGAAAGAATACCCGCCATTAGGGTTTATGGCTGGCAACCAGAAAACTCATTCTCGAACGCAAACATGCACGCATGCTTGAGACAGGAGAGCTGTCATCATCAGGGTTTGTTGCTGTTTGCAGCTGAAGAATAAATGCATGCATGTGTGCAGTTCTATGCACACATTAAATGCACATCCATAGCATTCACTATGATGAACTGGCTTCTCTGGCTTATGGCTGTTCTTGTGCGGTCTTTGGACCGATAGACTGAAGTTGAACCCTTCGTGGTGAGTTTCTATCCATCAGGGTCTAATGTATCCTTGGCAGACCGACCAAGGGACAGGCATTGGTCAAGGGCAGGACTGACAGTGTGGACTTGCACTTGAGACCATCTGCTGCTGCATGCTGAAAGGTTATTGCCTCCAGGGTCAGCAGTGGCTGACTGGATTTGGTGAGAGCGAACATCTCTCCGATGGATACAACCACGTCATCGGCGGATACAAGCACAGTATTGCCTGTCCACTGACAAGTAGTTCAGTAATGTTGGCTCCGGAATCCCATGCAACGTGCTTAATTGTCGCGCTTTGATTACCTGCCTGATGTTCGGCTACCGGCTTTCACCCGAATAGAATGTACGGTCATTATTGCTGTAAATAAACTCGAAAGTAGTGCGGAATACAGTTATAATGACTATTCGGGTACTATCACGTAATTGCGGTTCTTTATGTCGGGAGCGCTATGAGGGCATGGCCAATGCAAGCTTTGCTTTTGTTTCTGTACCTCTGACGACAGTCAACGTTGTAGTAATCTGTAACGCCTGCACACGGCATGTCTTTTTTTATTTTGCTTTATTCATACAGCATGTCTTTTTTTTTTTTTTTTTTTTTTTTTTTKTTGGTATTCATACTGGAAATCAAAATCAAATGAGCTTTTGCCGTTTTGCTCCACAGTGGATTTCTGTTCTCGTTGAGCTCATCTTTAGGATTCCTGCGTTATCTTGTAACAGATGAAGCAGATAGCGAGTCTTATAATGACACTCTTATTTGTAGATAGCGGCGGGAACTGCTCTTCTTCCGTCAAGTGGAAGGGATGGTTGTTATAGCTGTATTCGGGGCGACTTTCAGTCTAGATACGGCAGTAATGAAGGTACGTTGTAATTAGAGGAAGACGGTAGCATGCCTGTTATATCTGTCTGCAATTTGCCATTTGACACAGTGACCTCAGATTTCTAGAATTGGGTGCCATGCTTCCACAGGCCAGCCCCTAAACGGTCCTGTCCAGTCTGTGGGGGGGGTCTGCCGCTTAACATAACGCAACTGACAGGCTTCAGTAGAGTGTGTGACTCTCCTTTCACACCTGGTACTTCGATACAATAGCTATCATGCCACATTGATTACGGCATCTGAACCCGTGACTTATACATAGAAAAAACGATGTCTTTTACTGCTAGACGAAAGAGACCTGCTCCAAGGCTCATTTTTCGTCAACCCCCGTGACCTGAATGGCCTCTTTCGCCAGTTCTACCAGTCTGCTCTGCCAGTGAGTACTGAGCACCCAACGATGCCCCTTTAGGCGCTCTTATCCTCCCTCTCCTCTCCTAGTCGCCTTCTCCCTCCTTTCCCACCTTTCCTCTCCTTCCTCCCTCCCCTTCGTAGCACTATGAAGTGCATTCAAATGAGCATCACTAAAAGAACTGGCAAGATGTTAGATGCAGGACTGCTGAATTGTGAACACGTGTACAAAAACAAAACAAAAAAAGACAAACAAATAATGGCACAAAAAGTCAATCCAATCTCAGTCAGACTCAATGTGAATCGTAGTCCAGGTTCTTGTTGGTTTAGCGAGGGCGACTGTGCAAGCCACCGAATGAATTGCCCACTTTGGCGTAGTCAAGTGGGACGTTGCAGATGGCCGTCTCGAATCCCGTGCCGAAGTGAAGTAAACAGACGTGGTTGACCTTGGACTATCCAGAGCACAACAATGAAACCGCCCAGCGTACAACAATCAAACCACCGCTACATTGATCAAAACTTGCAATCGTTTAAAATAGGGAAAATTGTTGTAATGCCCCTGGAAGTTGGGGTATGTCGTCAGAGAACCCTTGAAGCATGGGTATGGTGAAGTGCCCCTACAATAGTCGTGAACTGGAGAACGAAGTGTTGTGTAACATTGCCATTTGCAATCCCTTCTTTCTCCAGTTCTTTTCTTACCTCCCAGAGTTTGATGTTGTAATGTCCAATGCGATGGTTTGTTGTGGACCTCGCGGTCATCGCCTGCACTTTGTCCTTCCTCCTGTTGGCTTTTCTTTTCTCCTACAGCTGGCAACTAGCTCCTTCTATTTATTTCTCTTTCTTTTTGCCTACCCCTTCCCCCATTTCTCTGCCCCACTTTCTTCCTGCCACACCCTCCTCTTCCCCTGCCCCACTCAACCCCAGCCCAAGGACACCACTTGAACGATTTTGAACACCGAAACGATGCCCGTCTTTACCCTTTGGTATTGAGACCGAAAATGACATTCCACTGATATATCTGCTGATGGGGGTATTGAGAAATGAGTGGTGGTATGTTGAAAACACAATAGGAGTTTTACGAACGCCACACACAAGCACACAAACACACATACAAACACACACACAAACACGAAAATAAATACAAACATGCGTGCACACATACACATGAACACACACACGCACACACACACACACATACATACACACAGAGAGAGAGAAAAAAGAGCCACCACCTCTCCCACCCAGGTCCCAAACCCCACCCACCTCACTCACCGAACCCCCAAAACAACCCTTGGACCCCC